GTTCCTGCGCACACTCCCCGAAATGTATCCGATAGAAAACCGACAAGCAGGCTACTTTTCTGCGATGATCGAGATTTTGGAGCTTCGACTCCACAAGAGGATTATTGTTAATAAGTCTCTTTGCTTTACGCTCCACCGAGTCCAAGGCAGCTAACTGGTATTGGGCAGAGCCGTCCCAAAGGTGGCAGCAGTACTCCATACAGGATCGAACTTGTGCTTTATATAGATTTAAAAGCTGTTCAGGTGTGAAGTACCGCCTGACCTTGAAAAGTATGCCTAGTTTTCTGGCAGCAGTTTTTGCCAAGCACTCGATGTATCGCCCAAAGTTGAGGTTGGATGATAAGTCCAGACCAAGTAGCTCAAGGTGGTCCCTTATCGGCACGGATACACCTCGGAAAGTCGGAGTAAGGTGTAGGGGACTCCGTTTTGATGAGAAAAGACACGCCTGTGTTTTAGCCGCATTAAACCTGACCCTGTTAGCATCTCCCCAGTCGGAAGCAGCTTTCAGACTCAGGTTCAACCGGGTGACCATCACCTCTCGCTTACACCGGATCTCTTCACTGTTGTCTCGGGCGTCTGGCACATAACTCACCGCCACTGTGCTGTCGTCTGCGTACCTAAAGATACTGGGCATCAGCAGCAGGTCGTTGATATGCAGCAAGAATAGAGTGGCGGAGAGGACAGATCCCTGAGGTACACCGGCATTTATACCATGAGGAGCAGACGAGTAACCATCTACAACTACACGGATTGACCTATCCTTCAGAAAATCGCCTATCCATGTGCAAAAGCCAACAGGAATTCCGTAAGCTGGAAGCTTGTTTAACAGGCTATCATGCCAAACCCTATCAAAGGCCTTTGATATGTCGAGAGACACGGCAAGCGATTCACCGCGTTTCTCGACAACCTCGCTCCATAAATGTGTGGCGTACGCAAGAAGATCCCCAGTAGATCGTCCACGGCGAAAACCATATTGTCGATCACTGAGGAGATCGTTATCTTCGAGGTATCCAAGGAGACGGCTGTTCAATACGCGCTCCATAGTCTTACAGAGTATGGAGGTGATTGCGATAGGTCGATAATTAGATGGGTCGGCATGACTACCTTTCTTAGGTACAGGCTGTACATTTGCAAGCTTCCAGGATTTCGGGACTTGTCCAGAACTCATAGAGAGGCGATACAGGCGAGTCAACACCGGAGACAACTCGGGTGCACAGTTCCGCAGGACAATCGCTGGGACTCCGTCAGGGCCACTGGCTTTGTTGACGTCTAATTTGCGTAAAGCTTTCAACACCTCTTTTTGACGGATAGTGATTTCAGGCATTTCCGAGTCACATCGAGGTAGTGTAGGTGGTGTTTGCAAAGTAGCGTCAAGACGGGAGTTGGAAGCAAAAAGAGAAACAAAAAGATTTGCTTTCTCTTCAGCGGTATGAGCCAGCGATCCGTCATCTCTCATTAAAGGCGGAAGGGATGACCTGCAGAAATTCGCTTCGACCGATTTAGCGAGTGACCAGAATGCTTTACTCCCTGATGGGTATGAAGCTAACCTGACCCCAATACGACTAATATGGCCGAAGCGAGCTTTCCGTATCGCTTTTTTGCAGGATCTAGCGGTTTTATTAAAGGCTTTCTTCAGACGGAGGGTTTCCGGTGCTTTGCGATCTCGAGCATCAGCTTGGGCTGATGCTCTGCGTACCAGGCTTGGGCCTGGTACGCAGATTGCTTTAGCGTTTCCGCAGAAGCACACTCAGCGTTAAACCAAGGGCGAGCTTTGCCGCTGGATGAGACTTCGAAATACGGAATAAAGTATTCCATAGCCCGAATAATCACCTCAGAGACGGCAGACGCGCAGCACGTCGGATCGTCAGAAGAGAAGCACAGCTGCCGCCAGGGATAAGATGCAAAGAAATGCCGCATCGCATCCCAATCAGCTGACTTGTATCGCCACATCCTCCTAGTACTTCCCGTACTGAGATCGGGCGGGGAGTAGACAGATACAGATTTCACCAGACAGTGATCGGATGTCCCTAGTGGGGATGAGATCGATACTTGGTAGCGGTCTGGATCGGTTGTCAGCAGAAGATCCAGGCAATTGGCAGTGTGGTCGTCAACGTCCGGTACCCTGATAGCGCAACTCACCAGCTGGGTGAGGTCTAGTGATAGAGCACATGCCCGCGCCTCTCTTCCAGCGTGGTCGGTTTTTTGGTATGGGAACAACCATTCCTGGTGATGGGCATTAAAGTCCCCCAAAAAGACAAGTTGTGCTTTAGGATACCGTTGTTAGACTGTTTCCGCCGAGCTGCAGAGATGGTTGAACAGCCTAGTCGTCTCCGGGTCTCCAGAATGCGACCGATACACACTGGCGTAGACAATTTGTTCCAGTCCAGTGTCTACCAGAACCCACATTACAGAGAGATCGGGGTCTTCAAGGTCACGGAGACGTTTAGAGCAGATGTCATCACGAGCGTAAACGCAGGTACCAGCGCGCTGCTTAAATTTGTGCTCCAGAATGTAACCTGGGTAATGCAGATACGCCGTGTCCGAAGGACATCTAATTTGGGTCTCCGTGAGGAAGAGCATGTGAGGCCTTTCAGTCTCAAGATGGTGGTGGACAGATGAGAGATTGGAATGCAGACCTCGGATGTTCGAGAGGTGCACTTTAAGTGAAAGGACGTGCATCCGCTGTTTAGCCTTCCTCAATTTTCTTGACCTTTTCATATTAGGGTTAAAGTGAATGGGGAGAGCGAAGGCAGTTGTACGAGACACTACTTCTGAAAGTCATGCGGCACATACCCTATATGGTACGCTGATGGGAAACTAGACTGGAGCGCGCGGGGACGCCCGAACCCCCCGGGAGTGGCCATCGGGTCCTTTCATCCGGTCGCCAACCGGCACGATGGAGCACCCCGGGATTTTTCGCGAGTTGGCGGGGCAGCCTTTCACTGGAGGCTAATCAGCTAATTGGGCCCCCTACTACCTGCGGTCGGCCAGCGGAGCACCGTGCTTCGGATCCCGCTACCCTCCGCGTCTAGGTTCCCAGCGCAACAACAAGGGAGCCCCGAGATCAACCAAATCAGTGCAGTGCAACTGTACAGACCCTTCACTCTAGAGCGGCTACTCTGGGCGTCAAGCCGGAACACAGCTATAGCTGTTTGGCGGCTAGGCTTCGCCCAGAGGGTGGTCACCAGCCACGACCAAGGTCTACCACCGGAGTTTGTAGCTTATTTGGCCCACCACCCAGGGGTCACGTGTAGGGTCTCGAGGGTACACAGCCTACGGACGCGAGCTACTTAACCCCCAAAATATATATATAATATAAATAATAATAAAATAAATAAGATAATGATTCTGATGGGTTACTCAATCCGTATGATATCTCCTCAGCCTCTTCCCATAGTATGTCTGACATATCTAATATAACAGTTAATCCTGCTGACATTGAGAAATTGTTAGTTAATTTGGATGCTTCTAAGTCGGCAGGTCCCGACAATGTACCTGGTAGTTACTTAATTGGTTGTGCGAAGTCGCTCGCGCTTCCAATTTGCCTTCTGTTTAGAAGGTCAATCAATGAACACACAGTGCCAGCGATTTGGAAGCGCGCATATATAACTCCTGTACATAAGAAGGGCTCAAAGCAGGACATATGTAACTATCGGCCAATCTCCAAGCTTTGTATTGTGACAAAAGTATTTGAAAGGGTTGTACACAATCAATTGTACGTCGCTTTGGCTGGATTTTTTAGTCCAACGCAGCACGGCTTTCTAAAGGGACGTAGCACTCTTTCAAATCTGGTTCTTTTTAACAGTTTTGTAACTGAGGCGATGGGTGAGGGATTTCAGGTTGACGTCGTCTACACGGACTACAGTAAGGCATTCGACCGAATTAGGCACTCTATACTCTTGCAAAAACTTGCTATCATCGGCATCAGAGGTGATTTACTTAGATGGTTTGCATCATATATAAGTAACCGGTCACAGGCCGTTGTTATTAATAACTACATATCCAGCTGGGTGTCTGTCCGTAGCGGTGTGCCTCAAGGATCGTTGCTTGGCCCGCATAGTGACAAACTAGGGGATGAATCCGGGTTTGCGCACTTTCATTAACACTTGGTAATTATATGTAATTCCACGTACTTTTGAGGTCGGTTTTTTTAGTACTCTGTACAGATATTATTTTGATAATTCTGTTCATTACTACATCTTGCATCCTAATTCTGCGTTCATTGTGTCCTGACATGGCCCCAGACATTTTGCGTGTTCTGTTATTAGAGTTTTTGTACTAGTAAGTAGTTCGAGTTAGCTGGTGTGTGCGGTCTACGACCGACAATGCGCTCCATCAGCACTTTACGCCATATTGTTGTAATTTAAATCAATTCACGATCAGCCGTCGCGCAGTGTACTCGTTTCAATCATTAATCTATCAAAATGTATAATTGTCAGTAATCAAGCAAATAAATCTACTAATCAATTATGAAACTATCATTTTATAAGATTACGGATACACCGTACATGGTGAATAGTTAAATTTAGACATATGAATAAATAAATAACATTTATACATATTATTTGAAGCCAAAATGTTTAGTGGTCTGTTGTTATTCAGCAGGAACAACTCTTTGCCGCTTTCGAAGGCCGCGTTTGAGTTTAGATAGTGTAATATAGAGTGTCAATGTTCCATGGCGTCATCACGCGACGGAAACAGATTCAATGTGTAATTTCCTCTCTCTCACGAGTCGTTCCTAGTTATAACTAATGAGTGTCGATAGCTGAGCGGATATTAAACGATCCCCATTTACGAACCTTTAACAAGTAGTAACCCTCGCACGGAATTATTAAACACACAATGGATGTACCTTAATTTTGATAGACGTTAGGTGCTTTCATGAATTGCGTGCTTATCATTTTGGGGTCTTGAAGTTTCCTTATGCACCTAAATAAAATACTAGCCTGTTTATAAATAGACAACGGATGAGGATGATGGAATAATACACCTTTGAGTAACTAATAAATTTATTTACATATTCACATAATGGCAACGTGCAACATGGAGTGTTCTACTGGGCGTCGTCGTGTGTCGCGTCATGACGCCCTCGCGATGCACAGAGCAAGCGTGACCGCGCACCACGTCCACCCGATGTTGACCGGCGCGCGCGCTGCGCCTGTAGACATGGATCACTATTAGGACCGTTAACATATTATACTACACGTAGCCTATTGTTCATTTTAGCGAATACACAACTGACATACTGACATACTGGTGTACAGCGCGTCGAGTTCACACTCGACAGGGCTCCCTAGTCAATTTCTCTAAGGATTTATGGCACGTAGTGTATACAATCTTTCAATGAAAGTACCACGGGCAACACATCTACACTCTTTTAAATTTGATATTCCGATATTCCAAACGTTAAGGGGGAGGGACGCTTGAAAAAGTCAACGAAAGGGAAAATTTCGAAGCTGACGGGTCATATATACGTAAGATGTTTTCGCATTTTTTACCATATTAAAACATTGCTGTCCAACGACACTCCACTTACTTAATGGGAATAGGTAAAAAAAAATTACCCTTTCAATGCTTGACAGGAGTTCCAAAAGTGTTTTTTACTTCTTTACTTTTTATCGTTTTTGAGTTCTAAATAATACATGTTGTAGCAATTTTCATCGTAAGGTAAAAAGTGCGGAAAGTCTATGTTGTTACTGTGGAATTTTGAAAAATTACGCAATTCCTTTTGTGACATAGTACAGCAATACAGATAGTCCGTCTTTGCTTGTACAAGTTTTAGACAGACCCCGAGTACAAAAAATATGTTGTTATTCTCTTTACATTCTGCGAGGAAATGGTCTTGTCTAAGTAAGAACGCTGAGATGAAGCGAGACCTGAGGAGTCCTCTCGGGTGACGGAGGCGGGGTGCGGGGCGTCCTCGCGCACGACGACGGCTTCGGAGCGCCGCTCGTACACGTCGAAGATGCGCGCGGCGCAGCGCAGCGCGAACTGCCCCGCCAGCGGCGCCGCCAGGCCGTACCTGCAGTGGAGCGCCGACAGCTCAGCCAGACTCGCTAATGTTTCAAACTGTGCGACGACGGCCGCTGGTTCCGTGGGGCCAATAAACGAACCTCAGCACTCCATGCTCGTCGTCATCGTGTAGCGGGTACTGACTGCTGTAGTGGTTCAGCGCGGCGCTGGTGTGCACGAGGCCCACCTTGTACGCGGCGCCCTCGAGCACTGTCAGCGCCAGCTGGCTGAACGCGCCGCGCTCGCGGAAGTCCTCCGGGTTCTGCCATGTCACGGACTCCGCGATCTACCGAACGACACCATCAGGGATTGTTAGCTGAGGTTGATGACGTGCGTCTAATCGATGATCCTCTATCTAGAATGTGATGCTTAGGTGATGGTGCAGCAACTCACCACTTCAATGAAGAAATGAATATTAAATTTATACATATCTGCGAATTTCGGAGAAAATATAAATCGTGATGTAAACGTATTCCTCACGAGACAAAAATATTTAACGGGACTAGATAGTCCCGTTAAATATTTCGTCATAGTAGATACTATGTTGTGAAAGTTGTTACTAGTGTCGATAACAATAAAATTATTGAGTGCGAAATGAGTAAATGTGTTACCGTATGTAAAAATTTATTACGCACTTTGAGTTATATACCACATATCATAATACCATACACGGGCTCGTCTCCTAACCCTAACCATTCCGAGATATAAAACTTCAAAGCTATGAATTTTCACACAGCATAAATCAAACTTGTAAAATCACTTAGAAGGCATCGGCACAAGTATTCATTACTATAACAACACCTCCAAACCGTAATCATTTCAGAATAATCGAATTGTTAAAAGTTGAAATTACGTTATTTATATGTCAAATTCGTAACTTTCAACAATTATATCTCGCAACAATTATGGTTGGGAGTCGAGCTGCCATACTATTTTCTGTTTGTATGAATCACCTTATTTATAAGTAATTAAAAAACAAGATTTCGTAAATATCTGAATCACTATTACAATTCCATTTATTAGTTTTATACCATCAGCTATAGCGTTTGGACGAAGCATTCACTCTCCTCATGAAACATACGTAAATTACGCGTTCAATATTTTATTAGATAATCAACGATACTGAATGTGGATACCGTCTCATCTCTGGTAAATCAGTTGTAATCGATTTTTTGTAGGCGCATCGGATGTAAGCATATGATATGAATGTGTGTTTAATCTGTGTATTTGTAAAAGTGTGCTACCTACTGTTGTCGAATTTTGTTTGTGCGAGAACATAATGCCACAACCCGATATTGCATTTGAGTCTCTCTGTTTGTTTGTGGTAGTGCCCTTTCACTCCTCAAATAACGGAAGAAAGTTTGCAAAATATTGCTTATAACGTCTCCCGCTATAAGCTTAGCGCCATTGAAAAATGACATTTATTTTTGGTGAGCTCTATTAATTCATAATAGGTAAAGGCGTGTGGTCGCAGTAGTCCTCGTGTACCGTGTGGTCATCGAGGATCCAGGAGATGTTGGGTGCGGGGTAGGCCTCGTCGACGGAGCAGTTGGCGCGGATAACGTCACCGCGCGCGTAGCTGCCGCGGGAGATCGCCAGGCGCGGTGCGCGGAACGGCGGGTCTGGAACACAAGACACTCAAACAGTGATTTTAGGTAATTTAACTGTGGTATTTTTGTACAGATTAAAGGGCAGCTTATGAACGTACGGTTAGTAGCAGTAAGTAAGCAGTAGAATTTCTTGCGAAAGAGTTTTTCCAGAGAGGTATTGCCCCTTACCTATTTCTGATGTCAAGCAGTAATGTGAGTACTGCCTTGGGTAAAAGTGCTGATGAAATTATAGGCAGATGGGACTTGTCAACTTGGTACAGTGGCAGTGCCCTTCAAATCTTTGCGATATATAAAGTTCCGAGTGTATTACTTGGTATCATAGAAAAAGTTAACAGCACATCTAGACATGTGTGGACACTCCGGTTCGAATATCGCCTCCAGAGCAAAGGAACAAGATTCGTCAATCTGTAGCTCGAAACGCTGCCGCCTGTACACTGTCATACTGTTCACCCTTTACTCTGTGCGGTCTACAAGTGTCGAGTCAACGCCGGTGCAGGCGCGAGGGCTGTTACTCGCAAGATGAACACTAGAACGTGGCCAAGTCGGGCGTTGGCGGAGAGACGCGGCGAGGCTCACCGACGACGGTGAGCGGCGCGGCGCGGATGTCGGTGTGGAACAGCGGCGCGTCGGCCGACACCTCGCACTGGTACTCGCCGCTGAGGCGCCGGTGCAGGTTCACGATGCGCACTTGCTGGGCGTCCGACTGCGTCAGCTGCAACACGTCGCGTGCTGAGTGACGGCTTCCAACGCATCATGACCGAGGTGGCTCTTTGAGAGCACAACCGGCCGATACAATTTTTGCAAGTAATGAAGTGTAGGGACTGAGAGAATGAAAAGTCAAAGTTTAAAGTGAAGCATTCGCAACCCTGACAACGTCACGTACGTCAACGGAGGCGCCGGGCAGAGGGAAGACCAAGGTGGGCGGCATCTCGCGCGGCACGTAGCGGTAGAACTCGGTCTCGGCGCGGTACCAGCGGATGGAGTAGAGCGCGGCGCCCTCGAGGTCGTAGGAGCAGCGCAGCACCGCGGCCTGCCCCTCGCCGGACAGCACGCCGCGCGGCACGCTGATCGACACGTTGCGCAGCGACCACACGCCGCCTGTGAAGCGTATCGAACTTTTTATTCAAATGTTGGTGCTATCCTAGTTCACGTGCTGTTCGTCAGTAACACGTGGCGTCGGACCTGTCATATCGATAGTTGAAGAGCTGACAGGCAACTTATTCCAAAATACGTCCAGAATAATCTCAGTACAGAGTAGTAAAAAAACCGACCTCAAAAGTGCGTGGAATTACATATAATTACCAAGTTTTATTGAAATCGATTACCGGAAAGTGCGCAAACCCGGATTCATCCCTTAGTTCGCCACTAAACGGGACTCGACACAGGAGATAATAAAAATTGGTTCTCACTACTCAAAGTATATTAGGAGAGAAAAACGCCTTGAATTAAAGAATAGCAAAATCAACCATTAAAAGAATTGCTCATTAGACTAAAATGTAGGCGCTATTTATAACAATGAATCTTTATGCGTGAACAGCCACCCCTAGAGGTGGACGATTTTCTTCAAAATGAAATGGGACCACTACGGAGGAACCTTCTTTCCAACAAAAAAGAATCATGAAAATTGGTTCACAAATACCGGAGTTATCGCGTAATATACCTACAAAAAAAAAATACAGTCGAATTGAGAACCTCCTCCTTTTTTTGAAGCCGGTTGAAAAATTACTACTCTGGTACGCAAGTACGCAGTACCTATGCGTTTCTTTTTATGGTATGCCACTGGTTTTAAAACAATGAGATCTCTGAACCAGTAATCGGTAAAAAAACATGCTTGATGTAGATAACTTGGATAGCTACTTACTTAAGTTATTGTAACTATAGCGATCAGAAACGTTATAGCGAAAAATAACGTCCGGATATGAGTATCGGCGAAATCAGCAACATCATGCGCATCATCCGGCAGTCGAAGTTTTCCGGATTAATTAATAGATTATTCGCTCGTTGCCGTTGTCGCAGCGCGAAACGAGATGGATGGATGCAAAGTTTAGGGTTAAGTTATAATTTGTTTTCTGCTTTAGAGCAGTAAGTTAAAGTTTGCTGACTCGAATTACGGGTCTGCCGTTGTATGCACACATTCGAACGCAAATCATTTCTATCAATACTAACGCGAAGCAGACAAGTTCCGCGTTGCAAGAATTCCGCTTCGTGGTAATGAAGTTGTTAATAAAGCAAAACCGACCGGAAACTATGCTCTCCCTTCTAAAACTAATTATCTGCGAAGTGTCCTTGCGGGCCGCAGTTGATTTACCGGGCTATTAGGGGGTCGCGGGCTGGACCGCCGGATCGTCGGGCGGCCCTGACCGGTGATTATTGAATCGAGAAATTAGTGTTAAGTCGCCATAAATTTGATTTAATTTATGAATGTACTTTCGGTACATGGACTAGGCGTATGGCAGTGTCCGTGCCAAGTAACTCACGGCACTTTTTAACCGACTTCAAAAAACGACAATTCGACAGTATGTTTTTTTTGTATGTATGTTACGCGATAACTCCGGTATTTGTGAATCAATTTTCATGATTCTTTTTTGTTGGAAAGAGGGTACCTCCATAGTGGTCCCATTTCATTTTGAAGAAAATCATCTATCTCCAAGGTGGCTGTTCACGCATGAAGATTCATTTTTATAAATAACGCCTAAATTTTTAATTATTAAATGTCAAATCTTTGTCATGGATTTATTGAGAAGTTTTTCTAATAATTTCGGTGAGTCGATGAAGTTACTTTAGAGTTAACATAAAATGTGAACCAATGTAGTTTTTTAATCGAGTAACAATATAACTTTGAATTCCTTCTAAGCCTCATTATAATAATATATAATTATAGAAATAGAAATCATTTATTCCTTGAATAATCAACGCATCAAATCAACGCAGTACGCAAGCATTTTACAATAATAATAATAGTACTGATAATGATGGTAATAACAATAACAACAAGGATTTGGAACTAAATTCATACATTATGTAGAATACAAAGCGTGTGTGCTGTGCTGCCAAGGAAACCGTGACTCAATCAGCATATTGCCGTCTCACTTAAAGTGCTACGACGCTGATTTTCAGCGGATCCGGCAACGGAATAAATGTGATTATAATCCTAATCACATTTATTTCTAGTGCAATGATATACAAATACTCAATTAAAATTATATAAACATACCATAATTTCACTGTTTGAGATAGTCTGGGGATTATATGTAAATAAAAGGTTATTTACATGTATTTCAAAAGATCCATGTATTTAGGTTAAATTTTTATACAGAATTATCTGTATCTTTTACAAATAATACGAATTTAAGCGTGGTTTGTTCATAAAAATGAATAAAATTGATTTTTTTTTTGTGCTGTCGACACTGTTTCATGTTAGGATTATTTCATTGTATTGTAAGAAAAAAAGTGGGACAGCAGAAGTTTATCACTTACCAATCATTGAAAATGTAAGTGGCTTCTAATAACCCAGAATTTAACATATGTTATTCAGGGGGCCGACCATAACCTTTCAAAAAACAATCTTATTTCAATGTCAGCTTATAGTAAGCTTATCATAATATTACTCATATGGGTACCATGACAAACCTATCAATCAAGTAATGTATTCTTGCTTTAGTGACTGAAAGAGCGAATGATTTCCCAATATTGTCTATTCGTTACTAAAAATAGGGAAGAAATAACGCTATAATAACGCACACACACACACTCAACATAGCCCCGCACTAGGGAAAACCTTGTGTCGCGGGTGCCATGGACACACAGATAGACAACTACAAATTACACCCAAACTCACGAGAAGTAAGTATAGGCCATACAAATATTTCTCCCGGCACGGGAATCGAACCTGGGACCTCTGCGTGGCAGTCCGGCATGGAAACCGTTCGGCCACGGAGGCAGCTATGAACTATGACCTATATGAACTGTATAATGCCATCTCTTTCTTTTTTGATGTTCCGAATCGTGTTATCGTAGTATAATGTTAAAGTATGTACTTAATATTATTTACATTCAGAGTATTTTGACTGCCAAAAAAAGAAAAGTATGTAATAATGAAATCTATTAAAATTACGTTATATTCAATTATTTTTCCGCATTTTCATGAAGAAAAAAATAATAATAACAACGTACACAGTCAACAAACCGCACAAAATAAATGAAACAAGCTGAGTTTTGATTATCACGTTGTGAATTCTAGTCTAGAGTCATCTGTTAGTGTCGCCAAGGAGTATATAGATGTCGTTGTCATAATTTTACGAAATAAACAGCGCGTATTTTTATTTAATGAGAAATTATTTTCTATGTACTATTAAATAATAAAATAAACAAAATATTGAAGAGATATATGTATAGGAAATGAAACTATTTTTCCGGATTTAAATCGCGTATATTTGTTTTTTCAAACAAACCGACGTTTCGGGCCCTTTACAGGTCCCATGGTCACGGTTGACTGAGGTGGTACAATCTTCTCCGTGTGCAGTTGCTGGTCTGCCATCGGACGCGTCCCCAGGTGGCGGATAGGGGAACGGCTCCCAGATATGGGAGCTACCGGCTCCGGCCAGCGCGGACCAAAACCAGCACCGGGAGGGGAGGACGATAGCGTTGGTTCCGTCCGGCGCTACCGAGCTCGTAATCGAGACGGTGGGCGGTGCTCGGTCTCAGAACCGGCTCCGGCCAACCCGTAATCCCACATGGAGTGGGACCGGGGGTCCTCCTCACTGAGAGGAGGGCTGTGAGGAAGAAAACCTCTATAAAAATCACCCCAATCCCAAGTTCTAGCGCCCGGCGATGTGATGAATGGCTGGTGGGTGTCCAGTCATTAGGGCGCACCAGTGGCGAGCTCACCCTCTTTCAAACCAAGAATAAATATGGAACAGGCACGTTTTAAAAATGGTCCCCAGGCGGGTCCCCGAAAGGGGGAATCCCGCCCATCCGCTTCGGCGGATGGCAGCCCCTCTTACTCTGGGGGGGGGCAAAAACTGCCTCGTGAGTCGGCCGGAAGTCGACTCTCGTGAACACGACAAACGCACACGAATAACGGCACTTTTTGCACTCAATTTGGATCACACGAAGGCCTTCAATGTGGAGGTGAGGATTCTCTCCGACAATGAGTCGGAGGGTGAGACGATGCTCACGGCCTCTTCAGACGGAGAGCCCACCCTCTCTGAGGGGAACTCACGCGCGGTTTCGCGCTCCGGGTCAGCTGGAGAGAAGAGATCTTCAAGGGCCGCCAAGCGTGCCGCCCCCCCGTCGAACAAACCTCAGGAGCCCGAAAGGGCTCCAAAGATCAGCACGGCCCGTAGGGGCAGGCCCAGGGTCCCCGGGAAAACCCACCCCGGTCTAATAGGCCCTGAAGGTCGCGGTGGAGGACCTCTTTCCCGAGCCGCAGCCCTTCACCCTACCGACCATGGTGCCCCCCAGAGCAGACGGGGGGCAGACTGAGGAACCCCCCGCCCCGGAAATCACCGAGGGGGAGTTGGAGTGGGCGGTGGGACGGCTGCGGGGGCGGAAGAAGGCCTCTGGCCCGGACGGGGTACCAGGACGAGTCCTTCGCATTGCCCTGAAGCATCTCGGGACCCGCCTCAAGCATCTCATGGTCGACTGCTTGAGGACGGGGTTGTTTCCGAGATGCTGGAAGGAGGGAAGGCTCGTCCTGGTGCCCAAGCCGGGCCGACCTGCGGACTCCCCCTCGTCCTGCTGGACGAGGTGGCGAAGATCCTGGAGCGAATCATCGCCTCCAGGATCAACGAACACCTGAGGGGGACAGGCCCCGATGTGCCGAAGCGGTAGTACGGGTTCAGGACTGGACTCTCCACCCTGGACGCCCTGGAGTCGCTGCGACACATCGTGGAAGAGGGTAACGGCGAGGGAGAAGGCGTGGTGGCTGTGTCGTTGGACATAGCCAACGCCTTCGGCACTCTCCCCTTCGCCGTTATCAGGGAGGCGCTGAGGTACCATAAGGTCCCCAGGTACCTCAGCCGTCTGGTAGAGCACTACTTGGAGGACAGGGTGGTGGTCTACCAGACGAGGGAAGGGAGGCGCGCCGAGCGCCCAAT